AGTAGAGCACACCATAATCTGAAACAGTTCTGAACTCTTTAAACTGAGTACTCAACTTTGTGAGCAAAGAAATAAGGTCTGCTTCCTTTCATTCCCAGTGCCTTGGTTCTTGTTCTCATAAACTTTAAAATATAGCAATGACCTATAAAATATCATTTTAAAAAGTATACCTGTGACAAGGCACACGGGCTCACGTGGAATACCTGGAACAGGTCTTGATGGCACAGCTGTCCTGTCTCTGCTCAGATGAAATGGTATTTCCAGAGGGCTGAGTGTTGAAGCCTTCAAACACCTGCAGGGGCTTAGTTGTGAGGAGAGACAGCCTGCAGAGCGACACAAAAAGCTTAAAGGCTCAAGGAGCGGGAAAATGCTGTATGTGATTCTGGAAACAGAAAGGGCAATTCAGCAACCATGACAGAAATTCCTAATGGGAAAGACTATGAAAAGTGATTCCAAAGATTTATTTCAATGAATAATGGGCTAAAAGATTTTGTATGAGGCCAACCACAATTAACTTGTAACCTCCAAGTTAATTAGACGCACACAGAATGCTTCAAATGCTTTGAGTTACTGTTTCCCAGTATTTTAATGTGAACAAACTGATACATAGAAGACTGGAAACAAAGTGAAATTTATTTGGTCAAGTCTATATGGAGGTAAAAGAATACATGGCTTATTTCAGAAAAGGGCTGACTTCAAGTACTGACTGAACTGTAAGGTTAAACTTTTACGTATGGACTCCACCACACTCACACTCACACTCACACACACACAATTGGTATTCTGCAGGAAGACAGAATGTTTTCAGCCATCAAGTCTTCATCACTGTCAAAATCCCACAGTACAACTGCTTTTTAAACATGACACACAGGTGAAACCTCATAATTAGCCTGCATTAAAAGGGGATGTTTCTGAATATATAGTCCTCTGATGCCCAACAATGTCCCCTAACAACTGAGTCGTTATAGCCCAGTATCAGTGAGCGTCGTTACCCGTCTTTGAACCCTCACCTGTCGACTGACGCCTATTGTCCTGGTGGGCATGTTTGGGCAGAGATCCCAAAACAGGATTGTAGATGGATGACAAGTTGTGTCTTAGTCCACCACCCCTATTTAGTGAGGGTTGTTCTATCTGGACAAAAATAGCTTCCTTAACTCCTCTCTCAAACCAGCGATGTTCTCCAGAGAGGATCTGGACTTCACTGTCCTCAAAAGAATGTCCTTTGTTATTTCCAGAGAAGTTGGTCACTCCAAGTCTGTGATTTTTTTGAATATTACAGCTTTACAATAACACTGAAAGAAAGTCACTTTCGGCTTTTCCCGTTTAGGGGTCACCACAGCGAATCGTCACACTGACGACTCGCATGTTGACATTTGGCACGTGTTTTACGCCGGATGCCCTTCCTGACGCAACCCTGATTGGAACCCGGGCCGCAGCGGCGAGAGCGCTGCGCCTTAACCACTAGCCTACCAGGGACAGCTCGCTTTACAATAACACTAATTCATTTAATTCCCCCCAGAAGGCTGGTCATCCACCTAAAACAAATGCACAAGAGGACAGGATAATGTGGAGGCTTTCAGTGGGGAACCAGTTTAACACTGGAATTGCTCACCAGTTCAGGACTGAACAGGGTAAGGATCTGTCTCTGCATACAGTGTCTTGCTGTGAGAATCTGAACTGAAAGGCCAGTCTGCAGTGACCAAGCCTCTAATCACCAGAAAGAAACAAAGGGCTAGAATAACCTTTGCTCAAGAGCATGTTGTTTGGAGAGAGGAGAACTGGTCCAAAGTTCACTTTAGTGAAGAGAACAAGTATAATTTATTTGGGTCCAATGGGAGACACTAAGTTCAGCCTCAAACTGGGGAAAGACTGAACCCAAAGTGCATAAGGAAGTCAGGAAAATGTGCAGGAGGCGTCATGGTTTGGGGATGTTTTCTGCAGCATGAGCTGGGCCTCTTATAGAGCTACAGGGCAGGGTGAGTGCAAATGATTATCAGAATCTCTTTTGGTAACTGGTGGTTCCTTCCCTGTGAGCATCTTCTAATCAGCCCGCAATGTTCATGCAAGACGATGCCCCCTGTCGCACTGCAAAACAGATAAAGCAGTTTCCTGAAGCTAAGAACACTGAAATAGTGAAATGGTCAGCCAAGAGTCCTGATCTAATCCCAACTGAAAATCCTTGACAAAGTTATGGCTAAGAAACACACTGCAGTTAGTGAACTGTGGAATAGGCTGGAAGAAGAGTGGATCAAAGAAGATCAAACCAGAGCTTTGAGAAACTAGTGATGTCCAGCAGCTGCAGATGTGCTTCATTCATTCAAAGCAAGAGCCTCTATATTTCCAACATTTTCTTTTTGACAGCTGTAACTGTCAAAAATGTTAATCTTCTTTTGGGTTACAGTGGTTTCTGTTTTCTAATATTGATCAAACATGCTAGTAGAACAGTGGTAAACCCACAGATAATATTCAAATTTTGAGTGATAAAGATTAACAATATTTCAGGAAAAATCACGGGTTTATGAGTTGTTCTCTAGTTTTGATCTCGAATATTTTCTGCGAAAGACCCGTGGAAAAGCTGATTATATCTTGTTTATGGCAGTTTATCTTTTGATTCAGTGAATTAGAAAGCCCGCTGTTTCACCTGTGTGTCATGTTTAAATAAGCAGTTGTATGGTGACACCGACGAAGGCCGGATGGCTGAAAATGTTCTGTCTTTTGCTAATTAAAGTGATTTATTGCCATTGTGATCCTAATTTATGATTATTGAACTGTAAGGTTAACCACATGTACCATTACCTGTGCACATGTATTAGATCTGGGGTTCTCAGTGTCAAGGTGAACAAAAGCAAAAAGCTTTCATTTGTCCTGGCCAATCACCTGGTGTTTATTATTTCAAAATGTAAAACAATATAACGTTAGGAACCTGAACTAAAGCAGCTTCATAGGCGGATCTTTAAGTTTCATCTAGTCAAACAAAATAAAGAATAAAACAAATGTGGTATAACTAACCTACAAGACACAACAGCTACTCCTCTTAGACATGGCTAGAGTATCAACAAGACAAACTATTTACCATCCAGCACTAACCTTGAAGCTTTTTCAGGAAACTACAATTTTTCACAATTTCTCCCACAGCAAGACTCCGAAACCTAAACAGCCAGTCAGGAACAAAGGCTTCTATCTGGCAAAATTAAATTAATTATAATATTTGAAACAGGACCTTACCCAGGAAGATGAAACTCAAACAATGAGCAAATACTGCACCTGCCATATTAATGTGTTTCAGGTGATTCACAGGAGGATGCACTTGGATTCTTTCCTCTGTCCTTAAATATCAGTTGAAATAGGGTTGTAATAATCCATGAATATATACGAGGATGTGCAGTTGGAGGCCCTTGATCCAATCCCGCAGGCGTTTTAACTCATCTGTCCCGATCACTGTGCTGGCTTGCACACACCTTTTTGTAAGCCTTTTTACAGGAGACATTTGACTTAACACAGCAGGGATGTAGACATGTAATTAAGGAAGAATTTGTTAACATTATAAATGGCTGCTTCCTATTTGAGTGTGCCAGTTCCAGGGCCCTTGTATTGGGACACCTATTTGGAACAGACATTGTTAATGTAGGCTTATCTTGTATAGTGGATAGTGTCAGCAGTGGAAAAGCCCATGTTAAAAAAAGCCACTTGTGTGTGAAATGTTTCTAGTGAACTGTCTCAACAGTGAATTGCTTCACCTGGACTTCAAATTTAGTGCTAATTTGCAAATGTTAGCATGCTGACACACTAAACCAAGATGGTAAACACATTCAATATTGTTATTTGTTAGCATCAGCATGTTAGTATTTACATATTAGCAAACTGATGTTAGCATGTAGGTCTGAGCACCACCTGGCAGAGTTGCTAGCATGGCTGTAGTGTAGACTCTTAATTTAATTGTTCCCAGGAAAGATTGAAAACATATGAAACCACTGTACCCTACATGTTTTACACAAGTAATTTCATTGCTATACTATTCTCACATTCAAACGTGAGCACACCCACACCAATACAAATGCAGACAGACCACTTCTTTGAACAGGGCTACATACATCCATGCCATTGGACTGCAAGTCTTTAATAACAACAGCAACAAAAAACAAAACAAAAGAAACTTTCATACAAAAGTATATGTACATGGTCACTTACTGAACTGTATCGCAGCTTAGGGAAATGATCTAAAATGGTTCTTTTTTAACGTTTTAAATACAATTCTTCTTAACAGTTACCAACCCTAGTATTGGATCTGAACAAAGTGGGCTGTCAGTGGACAGTCCATGTTTGTCATGGCAGGCAAAGCAGAGCAGCTGTCCATATGAGGACCCACGCACTAGTTATGAATCTTACATCTGACAATATTAATGACTTGCATCCATTGTAATAGGGGAAAATAAAAGTTTATATTGATTTCCTTTGAAACAAAGCACACACAATTGTTGAGAAACATAAATAATGTAATAACTGAATACCAGTGCAAAAAGCATTCAGATCAGGGAGACGAGGGCCAAAATCTCAGACAGTGGGATTATGAGACTTGCATTAACACTTACAGTAGAGCCTGAGTCGGACATTCCAACAGAACACAGACATAGAATTGAATTTTTGATCTAATGAATGTGAGAATCAGCGGACATAATATTAGCACTGAAGTTAATCTACAAAAGGAAAAAAAAGAGGACATGGAGATGGCCAGAAAAACAATTGCATTTCAAGACCTGAAAAAGAAATCCCATGTGGAGAATGATGAGTGGGCTGAGCTGCTGAAGAAGGGCAGATGCAGTGTCATGGTGCCTCTGAATGGCCCACTGGTTCCAGCTCACACCTCACTTTGTGGTAGCAAAATCCTGCCCTGTTCAAAGGTCACTGGTGAGATTATCTGAAACCTAATGGTGACCATGCAACTTAGGTTACATGCTAATGTGAAGCCCCGACACACACATACATGTGCCCATGTCTTCTGTCCTGCAAGCAACCACTGCCATGCACTGCAGTGAATGCTTGGGAAATGCCTAAACATTTGCTTGTACAGTTAAAGGTGGAAGTACTGGGACAGCAGGATGTCTGATAGAACATGGCCCACTTTTATAAAACGCAGAGTTGCAACTTTGACTGCATCTGTTGTCTGTGTTAATGAAACTGATAAAATGCTAAATAAAAAACAAACAAAAACATTATGAAGTAGGCAGACACTTCTCTTGTTAAGGTGAAACCTAAGGTATTGTGATAAAGAAAAGAATTTGGAGCCTGGCATACAGAGGGTGGTGGTGAATCTTAGAGGTGATGATGTTAGGGCTGTTAATGCAGTACTGGTTTGAAAACAAAGTGCAAGTGATATACAGTTTGTGCATCATGTCAGAGTAATGGTCACTGGTATGGAACAACAGAATAGAACAGCTGACAAAAGCTGGCACCAAATCATTTTTATGAGGAAAAATGCTAACCTATTGTTCTTTATTTATTGTGTATATTTTTTTTTAATGCAGGCATCAAAACTAAAAGTTAGGTTTACTGTTCCAGTACTCGCACCATTAACTGTATTTCAATTAAAAGGTTACTGTGGAAGTGTTTACAATAAGTGCGAATTGGTTGTTATTCCAGAATTGCTCTTATGACTGACGATGCTGCGACTAGGGACTGAGGACCACATCTCCGCCTTCTCAGTTCATGTCCCTGCCTTGTCCAAACCTTCTGTGTAAGTATTTTCATGTCTCCCTCTATTATCAGGTCCTACGCCTCACTTGTCAGAATTCTTGCGTGGTCTGCGGAAGCTGGACATGTTCTCACTGAGTGCATAGATGCGTCTGGAGAACTCCTCAAAGCCAGCCACATCCAACTCACCCAGCACCTGTTCATCGCACTCCACAGCTACTGCGTGGTCCACAGGGATGCAACGGTAGTCTTCCAGTTGGGCCTCGTCAGCTAACCCTATCCCTAAACCCAATCCCAGGCCTAAACCAGTGGCCTCTGTGCCCATAATTTCCTCAGCTTGCTCCACAGAGCAGCACAGTTCTGAGACCAGGCTAACTGGCGCCTGTCCCGGCACCAAAGAGCCGTTCATGGTGCCTGTGTGCTGAACAGCAGCCACTGTTTCCTCACTAGTTTCCTGCACTGTAGAACAGTTTGGCATTGCTGTGCTGCTGGGCTGTTCTTCTTCAGCCTCTTCTTCTTTATCTATTTCAGTGACTTTGTCAGCACTTCTGCATCGCTCCACCTCCACTGCTGTCTCCCCACCCCGCTCCTCTTTGTTCTGCTCTCCCTCCTTGCTGGCATCCATAGTTTTGCTCAGGCTTAATGAGGCCATGCCAGCATCAAGATGTTTCAGTGAAGGTGAGGGTGGCGTTAGGTCAGCTGGGGGCTGCTCTTCACCCATGGCTGTGTTGTAGCTGGGTGGAGGGGTTGGCTTGTAGGTCAGCTCATCTGCTTCTGAGTTCGCTCTTTTCCTCAGGCCTTGGCTTGGTGAGCTAGTGTGGTAGGGGGAGCCTAGCTCTGAAGCGGCACACATGCTGAGCTGGGACTTGGTTGGTACCAGGATGGAGCTAGAGAAATGGTGTTGGTCACTGTGAGGAAGAAAGGGAGGGATGCTAAATGAGCAAGGACATCAACAAAAGCAATGACAATAAAACTGAATCTATGTGTGGTATCAAGTTCAAGACATGATTTAGTTTGTAATTAGATTTGTGTTCCATTTATTGGCATAGACAACAATCTCTACAGCTCACGTGACAGGGATGTTCTAAGGGGGCGAATGAGACACCCAGTTTCTATTTAGACCTGGATCCTCACTGGTATCATCAGCACCCTCCACCCAAAGCAGCCAGCTCCTTTCCCCTGACCCAGGAGAAAGACAGCTGCAGCTCTTTGTAAAGCACGCCAACTTACAACATTCAGAAAACATTTGTGCATCCTCAGAGATTATACTCACATTCTGCTGAGTGGAAGAGCACACCAGGCTTCCACCCAAGTATGTCAAACTTTTCCTGTATAACAGATAACTGATACAGGGGTCTGGTACACCCCACCCTGCCTCAGTACTGGAGCCATAAATTTACTTGAATGTGGGCCTCATTGCCTTTTCCGATAGCTAAGGCCATGTATATAACTGACTGGCTGTCTTGGCGGTCTGCTTAACATGACTGGTCCACTATCTCGGGAGCCCAAGCACTGTACTGTTGGGGTCAAAGGTGAAGCGAGGCCTCTCTGTGCTCTGAAGAGATTCTTCATCTGTTGGTTCAAGAGTTGAAGACAAATCTCTTGTTGTTCAGTTGGACATGCAATCATAATAGATGCCCTTGTAAATGTTCTCAGGTCATTGGCACTTGTAAAGGAAGTCTTGCTTAAAACATTTCCACATCAGTGATGAGAGCACTGGTTGACACATGCATTTTTGTGATGGCCTTTTCTCTGCTAAACACATGACCAACTTGTAAAAAGGGCTCTGAGCTTGACCCATGCTGGCACCCTGCTGAGGTGGTCCTGACAGGGTTCATAGGCAGGACAGAAGCCTGTCTAGTTTTAAGAAAAACCTGTCAAACTTCAAAGTGCCTGTGATACAGTAAATGAGAACCATTCACATTCTGAAGGTACTCTATGTAACCACTTATGGTAACAACCTGTAAATACTGCATCTCAACATCAATGTTTAAGCTAATTGGAGGTGTGCAAATGTAAATGTCAGATGGTCAACTGAGGTCAGAGTTAAGGAAACAAAGAGAGTAATTGCCTGATCATGTGAGAGTGTTCCTCTTAAATGAGGAGAACAGGGGATGGACTGTGTTTTACTTAGTACTGCATGTCCATCCAAAAACACATCATTTAAAACAAATGCCTTTAGCCTTTCCCACCTAAGGAGCATATGGTTAATTCAGCAGCAATGCATTTTCTGGAAAAATGCAAACAATGTGCTCTTTAACACCTAATTTAATAACACCTCATTTTCACACTCATCTGTGACTTTCCAAATGAAATCATCATAGGCTTTTAAAATGCATGTCCAAAAACTCGAAACCCGATTTGGTGGAAAGGAATAAAGACTGATGTCATGACAAGTCAATTATCATTTAAGTGGGAAATGTGGTTCGGACTCTGAAAAATAATACAGATTTAACCACCAGAGACAACTGGTACTGAGGGAAAAGGTCAAGGATTCCGTGCATCACTTATAAAATGCTATGCTTCTTTAGCTTGATTGAGATATTCTTCTTACAATGACTGATTATATGGCTTTGATTTTAATTATAATCAGCCATTTTCTTCCATTCCTCACTCCAGCTGGATATCACATATGATCCATTTGCTCTGATTGTAAATTACCATTTATGCCACAAACAAATGTATTATTCACACTGGCATAAAATTACATGGACATCACACAAAGTATAATGAGGAATTCTGTATTTGGACAATGGTATTTTGTTCCACTCTGTCTTGCATCTGAATTTGTTCTGTTATTTGCATCTAATTGTGCTGCAGTGCATGTGTAACAAGAGGAGATTGGGTGTGTCAGTGGGGACTTCAGCCAATCAAACCTCCAACAGTCAGAAGAGTTTTTTCTTGAAACTGTTACACTGTTGATTTTTTTTAATGCAGGCAATTAAACTACACATATAGCAACGTTGATGATGTGGGGGAACGGAACTGCTGAAAAACATTTCCTAAAATTGTTTGGAAAAGATGGAACATGTACAGCATCATTAGAGAATAAGGCCAAAACCTCACCTTGCATGAACTGTCTCTCTTGTTAACTTTCTTTTTTTTTCATTTTCTTAATAAACTGTTCCCTTTCTGAAAATGTCTTCCTCTTGCACAAATTATTTGTATCAATAAACATTAAACAACTTTTTGAAAAGAGGTCAAATGGAATTCTAGAAATGGCATTATTAGTCCCTTGGCTGGTCCACCCCTTTTGTTCAGACTAAAATATCTCAACTGCTATTGGACAGGTTGTCAATATTTGTCATTACAGTTGGGACATAAGTAAGATGGCAGGTTGAAGGTTTGTAATTCAGGCCCGTTTCTTTTATAATTCATTTGTTAATGTGCAGAAAGCTTCTATGGGAAAGTGTTAATGAGAGAAAGGCTGTTGAGCTGAGGAGATGATATCCACCAGTTGTTAAGAATCACTTATCTGACACCACATACTTTACACATGCATGAACTAATTAACACACAAAAGCAGCTCATGAGCCATGCTTAAAAAAATTGCACGTCCCAATCAGTCATTTTACAGGTAAAGCACAGTCAGCACATAGGTTACTGTCAGTTCTGTGCACTGCTGTCAGGAAGCAGCTCACGCTGAGGAGTGGAAATGATACAATGCACTTTAGGGGTGTGTGATATCCTATCAGATGCTTCTCTGGGTTATGAATGTTGCCTAAGATTTCATATTATTAAAAATAAAATGCGCTAGTCTAATATTTTCTCTGAAAACTGTAGGAACTGCAAAGACCAGCTGTGCACAAATAATCATTAAACACTGACCCCAGAGCCGTGGGAGGAGAAATGTAGAACAGAAAAAGATGAGAGAGGGAACAGGGGTGGTGGTAAAGTTTTTTTTATAATTTGTATGTAGTTTATTTTATAATTACAACTGATATAACTAGATTGATTGATTATTGACTATTTGGGATCCCAAACCTGAATTTTTGTTGCTTCTGGGGTGTCTCAGGTCTCTTTTTGTGGAGTGAACAATTCATGGTACCCAGAGGATGAACCCTAATGACTGATGATTTTCTTCAAGCACCACCATGAGGTTAACATTTGTGGTTAAAAGTAAAATGTTTTGACAAGTGCTGCTGGATAGATTGTCACAAATTATGCACATTCATGTCTCCCATAGGCACAACAGCCTTTGGTGATCGATTAAAATTTGAAATCTGTCCAAAAAACCACCTACAGCAAGTCTTTAGATGTCATTGAGGTTCACTCTCTGCTGCATTACTCTGAAAACAACCCTCACAGCACAATGTAAGTGCTGCTAAGAGGTCTCTGTCTATATCAATATGCAGAAAACTTGACATGTGGAGCTAGAAATAGCCTTCACTCCTCCAAAGCCTCTTGACTGCTCTTTTCCTTTCCACTGCTGTCAAACCTAGCATATTTCAGACTGACTCAGGAATTTGGTAAGCCAGACCTTTCTACTGTCCAATCTCCCGACAGGCTTAACAATTTCCCCCATGTTCACATCCAAATCCTGCTGAGGAGCCACACTTTTGGGCCAAAATAAATAATGGTAGATAAGATTTGGTTGTTTGATATGTCTTGGCAAAATCCCTTTGAAACTAGAAGAGCAAACATTAGTAAAAACCCGATATGCACTATGGTAGAAATTTTCTTTTTGCTTTAACAAGGCAGGAATAATTCACTGTCTGGCCTGACAGTCTGAATACAGAGAAGCACCCCAGCACAGCATAAGCAAGACGATCAATAAGCTGTCAACACCCTGTCGTTGCTCAGTGGTGTATTGTCTAATGTATTACATCTAAAACAATACTGTTGTTTTTACAACATAAATATAACACTGGTATAAAAAGTAAATGCATATGTAAAGCCACTGATGTAACAATAATTTTCCATTGAAAAATTAAAGCATATTTTCATATATTTGTTTAACATTTTGCCTTGGCTAAATCGTGTCTGCAAGCCAAAGGCGAACTAAATTATGCATATAAACGTAACTAACTTAACATACGATAGGAGCATATATACTGTATATACTACATGTATACACACTATATACTGTACCATTTCTGTCATGAACAACAGAATCCTATTGGCAGTAAAAGAAACTTAGTGGTTTCTAAATGGTTTGCTATGAGGTAAATCCAGGTGTGTTGTGGGATTTTATGACAACCATACATTAGTATTGATGTAAAATGACAAAAAAAAGTTATGAATTTTTAATTTACTCTATCAGTACTTTGTAGGCACTTATTTCCCAATTCAGAGGCAAATCCCATAGCCTAAAAAACCACCTCTAGGAAAGAGAAAAAGAGCTATAGTACTTTTTTATGCACTCAGTAGACAGTATCATGAAAGCTGCCTGTCTTCTGGCTTCAGGTCGCCCTCAGCCCTCAGCCCTCAGCCCAAGTGCATCATTTGTCAGGAGAAGTTAGTGAATGCTAACATGGTGCTAAGCAAGCTGAAGAGTCACCTGGAAACCAAACATCCCTTCTACATTGAGAGAAACATGGCCTAAGAGCACATGATCTGCACCAGAGGCAGAAAGACTGTTTATGGGATTGTGTGAAATTGTCTGATAAGGCAATGGGGGAAAGAAAGCTACATGGTAGCAGCGCTTACTGCAGAGTAGAAAAAACTCACATGGTAGCAGACACTTATCCTCCCAGCTCGCCAAAAAAACAAAACAAAACAACAAAACCATTGCAGGCTCTCTTCAATACCAGCAAGGATGTAAAAATCTGTGAGCACTGACGGACACGTGTCTCACTAGCTTATAAGTAGGCAAAAACACTGACAATAGCAAATGTTTTAATGCTGACTCAAACTGATGTTACATTTAAAATGTCTTCTTTTCAACTCACTGTCAACTGGTTTTCATTCTCAATGCTTCTCTTTTCTTTACAATTTAAAAAAAAGTTTTTTCCAACTCATTGCATATTTTACTTTTGTTGAAAGTGCTGTTTGAAGAACCAATGTACCTTTGAAAAATATCAAATGAACTGAAAATGTGCTTGAATTCGACTTCCAAATCATTATGTAGTACTGTAAATATAGCGAACCTCATATTTTACTTATTTTTATTTAGTTTATATATTTTAGTTTAATATGCTTTTGAGACAATATCAAGTCACTGTGTACATCACGTAACACAAGCGAGCTCCTGTGGTTTTGCTAACTTTTCACTCACTATGGGGTCTTTGGGGAGGTTCCTGTCCTCCAGCTGCAGCGTTCAATCTGCTTGGCCAGGCGCTCTGTGACACCTTGCCTCCCTCTGCGCTCTGCACAGAGCCCTGCTTCCAGGCATCAGAGTGGGATTAAGGCCCTGTGAACCTTTGCCAGGTCTTCAGTGGATGTGGAGCGGCAAATGGGAGCATGTTGAACGCGTTTGCTTTGATCTCAGCAGACTGCAGTGCGCAAAGAATCGATTTCTCCGTCTCCCTCCTGGTAATAGATTCACCATTTTTCCACCGTTTCTTATCCTTCGGCAAGATAAAAAAAAAATAAAAATACTGCCTGTTTTTCACTAGAGCTGGACAGTATATAAAATGAAAGTAAAAATGTATGAAGATATGATTGCCAGACTAGCATCATATAATCCACTGAATGAAAAATACTTTACACACTTTTATATTCCTACATGTTGTATGTTGTATTTTCCTGTTTCTCCATTTGTTCTGTTTAAAATGTCCAACATGATCCTGCAATGGCCTTGGTCTTGGCACTTTGGAAAGTTCTCTCCCTGCACACTGGATGCATGCTGAATTAGTTCTATATGGGAGTAGCTGTTTCCAAATCTGTGCTGGAAACGGTTCCATAAATCCTATCCTTCATCACATCATCCCTGTTTGGATGCATGGAAGAAAGAGAGAGATGGCAAGGAGGAATAGAGGAAGCAGATTAGTTTCTCTCTCACACAATCTACAGAATAATTACCTGCAGCTGCCATCTAGCTTTTTTATATATCCATATTTCATAAGCTGGGTCCCAGTGTGGGAAACTTGAATTTAGGGTTTTTAAAACAAGGCAGAAAAGAAGACTGGAACTGATATAGGAAGGAAATGGTGCAATAGTGTGTGAAAAAAATCTGTTCATATCCTACATATTACAGGACACTATGAAACAGTTACCTTCTCATCCTCAGTGCAGACTGAGTTGACTGAAGTTGGTGCAATGTGTATGGTCTTATAATAACAGGACAGATTTAACAGTGTAACTGCTGAAACTTAAGCATACTTTTTATATACTTTTTCCAAAATAAATAAATAAATCTAATTTGACAGCATTTTCCTTTCAAGCTAGTTTCTGTTCTAACTACTGTATAATATTTTGCAAATAGCTTCAGCTTCTGATGTAAATGTAAAGCCCCTTTTACACTGTCGATTCAAGGAGGGAGTTTTGTGCCACTTTTCCACCATGCCATTCTATATAAAAGATATAAAAGGTCATCAAGAGAGGCAGCATTTTTACCGAGACAAGTTTGCCCTGCCTCCTGAGCAGTCGGAAAGAGGTGGAACAGGGATTGTGGGCGCAGGTGTAAGAAGCTCTGATAAATATTAACACTGTTCACAGGAACCGGATCTGTGACCATAGTCATTAATATGTTTACTAAGCACAAACACTTTGAGTCCTAATCATTGTGTAAATGTATACGAAAAATAAAAGCATATCCCTATCACATTCATTCATCATTGTTGATTAGCAACAATGATGCCAGTATGCTTTGAATTTCTAATGTGCCTGCTATAGGCTATGTCATGATTAACCATCATGCCGGTATCTGTATAAAAAGAACACACACGTGGCAGTTTCCTGGCCTTTTTTGAGTTTAGTTTAAAAGGGACTTGAAGCAAAAAAGCCACCTTGAAGAAGGGTGAACACAACAGCAGTTTTCTGTGATTTCTATATAAACTAGAATTACCGTTTCATGGCTGTATGCCTCTGCCAAGCAGTCAAATTCATGGGTATGGGACAGACTGACCTTTGACCACCAAAATCTAATCGGTTCTTCTTTGAGTCTAAGTGGACACTTGTGCCAAATTTGAAGAAACTCCCTTGAGGTGTTCCTAAGATATCACGTTCACAAGAATCATACGGACATACGGACAGACAACCCAAAACATAATCCCCCCAGCCACAGCTATTGCCAGCGCGAAGGCATAAAAAAGCCTTCAGAGCATTTTTAGCTCAGGGTTGCTCAGGCTAATGAGAAAGGAATCTGTGTATCGTTCATTCTTTTGGAAAAACTGAAAAACAAACAGCATTTTTCTGTTCTAAAAACAAAACGGGAAAACAGAAAATTCTTTGGTTTAGTTTGTGTGATATTATGTTAAATGCAAGGAATGCAGGCTAATGAGGAGGCTAGGTGTGCACAGAAGAAGTAGGTCATTTGTTTTCAAACTGCCAAGACCACCAAGAAGAAGAAAAGGAAGTTGCCCATTCATACCTTAACAACTTGTAACCTCACAGCTATGGCCACAATTGATGTTCAGTTTATTTGTGAACTTTATGAGTAGAAGACACACTCAGAAATCAGCACTGCTCTGCAGTGTTTTGGTGCTCCACTGCGCTCAGTTAGGGCTGTGAGGAGGTTCTGCATGGAGCACAACCTTAGAAGAAGGTATAATGTTTCTGACACTGAACTGGAAATGGACGTGATTTAGTCAATCAACAGGGTAGCCTATGTGAGTTTTAAAATCATCTTAACTAGGTACAGTGGTTAGTGCTGTCGCCTCACAACAAGAAGGTTCCAGGTTTGAGACCCGGCCGATCCAGTGCCTTTCTGTGCGGAGTTTGCATGTTCTCCCTGTGCTGGTGTGGGTTCTCTCTGGGTACTCCGGCTTCCTCCCACAAGAACAAATGATACAAGGACTGAAAGGCTGTGTCTTTATTCTCAGCTCATGGCTTTTGAGTCAGCACAGAGCATGTGGTCTCACTGTAATATAGGAGTGTGGCTGTAACACGTTACTGTGGAACAGTTGCACTTCTGCCTTCACTTTTTTAAAATCTTCCCCAAATGTATACGCACAAATACACACAGCTTCAGGGTTAGTGGGCTCAGACTTTCATCTCATCTATCTTTGGACCCTTCTACTTCCCATTACAGAGGCGGGCAATGAAGGGCTCGTTTGAGAGCTTTTCATGGCTTCTTTTCTTTCAAAACAAAAGATTATTCAATTAATGTGTGCAATACACATTTCCCCCATGCTGACCCTGAAAGAGGAGTGAAGATCAAAGACAGCTTTCTCTTTTATACTGTAGGACAGTGGCGCTCAAGCCTGACACAGACCAACTGTAGAAGGAGAGAGGCAAAGATCTAAGCATTCCACTTCATCAGGACAAAGCGGCTGTTGAAAATCTCATCAACAATAACTTTTTTTTTTATAAATGTGGATGGACTGATTACGTGCAGAGGTGGTACCTTACTACTACTAAGTATGGTATTGTCAAGTTTAATTTTGTCTTTCAGTTTGTCAGCATATTGTATGGTGTGTTTTGGGATCTAATTTTAATGTTGTCTGTTGATGTGGTGGGTGATTGGACCCCAAGAAGAACAGCCTCTGTTCTGTATAATCTAATGGGATGAACAAATAATGATCAAATAAATAATGAAATAGTAAATTATTAACAGGAGAAAAATAAAATCAATTCTGACTAAAACTTGTGTTCAATTAAGGAAAAACAACAATAAAAATAATGTAAATACCGATACATGAATTTTACACAACAGTTCAGGCTCCAATGACATATGAGAAAATACTGGTGTAGCGTTTTTCTGATTCTTACCATCGGACCAGCAGACCATGCTCCAGGAAGTTTTTCAGGTTAGGCAGAGTCTGCTGCAGGTCTGGAGTTGTCAAGCCATGTTGATATCTTAGCTGTAAGAAAAGAACACTTGCTGTATAATTTACCTCACACAACCCTCAATACTGTGCTGAACCAAACATATACAAAACAGTGAGTGGTGGCTCAGTGTGTATCACTGAGACATGTATGCACATTCGTCATGTTTGGATGTCGTTTGGAGAAGAAAGAAACACCATCTACAGGAGGAGAGGTCTGAAGTCTACATACTTTAACCATGACACATTGCACTTCTCCCAATCAGACACTTGGGACTATTACTCATCTGACACACAATGGGCATCCCTCCCTGATAACAGGCATGTGTGGAGAGACAGGGGATGAGATGTGGGTGGCAAGAAAAACCACACTCACTGTTAAAACATCTGGACAAAATGGGGCAAAGAAAGCACATTAGAAACTCCATTACCTTCTCCCATGATCTTTCCGTCTCTCCTCACTAGACCCACCTCTAAATTTTAACTTGAGTGCTCTCTCCCTTGTACCATAGCGCTTTATTTCATGATGACAGCATCAAATCCAGAGGAAAAAAAATCAACTAGGTCACGTTCAGACTCCTCTGACAGTTGAGTGATGCCACAGCCAGCCAGCTCTTATCCCAGAGAGTTTATTTAACCTATATTACTGAACAGCAGAGGAGCATCATGCCGCACGTCTGACGTTTATCTCCAAGGCCCCTCTGTCACACACACTGCCGCACACGTTGCCATCTGGTTTGTTTCCACTTGGGTGCCAAGACAGCCACTCTACTTTCACACACACACACACACACACACACACACACACACACACTTCTGGTGAGGAAATGAAGTGCATGTGACTCTGACACGACAGTCACCCAGGATAACATCCTGCTTATTGATATATGACCACATAATCGATGACTGACATGATAATAAAGGAATTACAGAGAAATACAGTGTATGTTCAAGGTCACATTGCCTTGTTTTTAGTTTCAGATGAATTTGGTTTTACAGTTTAGAAGGAGACTAATTGTTTTCAAGATATCAACAACACAAAAACTAAACAAATGCACATGGTAAATTATACTTGTACAGAGCTTTTCTACACACAGAATCATACTCAAAGCACTTTAACACCATTTGCCCACTCACACATTCGCTCACACATTCATTCACACACTGGTGATATCACCGGGAGCAACTTGGGGTTCAGTATCTTGCTCAAGGACACTTTGACATGTGGAACAGTGAAGTTGGGGATTGAGCCAAAGACCCTACGGTTGGAGAACAGCCCACTCTACCTCCTGAACCACAGCCACTGCATATTTGGAACATCCATACCTGCTTCAAATATTCGGTCAGGGTACTGCTACAGCACAGAGTGGCTCTTGTAAGGCTTGATAAATGGCCAGAGAAATGGCATAAAAGCACTGACACAAAAGGTCATGCTGACGGAGTGTACATAGGTCACATGTGTGTGTCAAATTTCTACTCAACATCAAATAGCTAAATCCCACTCTGTCTGAGAAGCTGCCAGAACCATGTGTAAAGTGTATGGTATGAACAGCACAGTATGCATTTGACATGTGTTCACGTGTCAGCATCAGTGTTCCAGTGTGTTCTGGTTTCAAATGGCCCGTGTCTTTTAGGGGAGGTAAAGAGCCTACAGTATTGTCACTGTTAGAGGAAGGTTTTATCAAAAGCAGTCAGATAAGGGCGTTGCCTCAAAACCCAGCTGAGTCCAGACATCTATGAGAACAACACAGAGATCCATTCATGCCTCAGTACAAACCTCAGGGTCTGACCAAATGACGGTGCTGTGCCTTCCACAGGGTCTACTGAACGGAACTGGGCTTGAAACAGCAGGCCAAGATAAATAACACCACCAGTTTAAAAAGAAAAACAGCACAGCAACATCAGGCAAGGGGGGTTAATGCTTGCTCTGTGGCCATATGCTACAGAAAAAAAAAGGAAATTCCCAATCTCATAAAAATCTCAAAGCTACAGCCTAGAAAGTATGAATCAGAAATCATGAATCAGATATGAGCAACGAATAAATATTATGGCTTCAGAAAAGGTAAACAACATTTGTTGGATATGACTGTATGCTTTCTTTGAAGGCATAACAAAATACTGTCTTAAATCCCAGGCCTTGACCTGAGCTCTGTATGACTAGTAACCACACTGTGTCTGACAGGAGCTCTATGTCAAATTACATGGCTGTATGTCTAGTGTGTGTGTGGGAGAGAGAAAAAAAAACCTAAGTGTGCATTTGCATGTGTGCCTTCCATTGCTTCCCTTATGTGTAGAGATCTTGCCAAGCATGCAGCATAGAGAAATTGGATATAGGTGAAGACAAGAGAGTGATGGGTGACATCACAGGCTTGCTCCAAGCACACTTCATTATTATGGAGCTTTCTGTGGGGGATTAAAAAACATAGGAGGATGTGTGGATGCTGTAGTGTACATTTCTGTGAGGAATGCGGCTACTTCTAGATTCTTCTTAATGTATGCCTCCAGCGACCAACACAGAAGAATTCAGACTTGCATGCTCACTCAGGCTTTTGTCAAATGTCTGCCAGTGGGCACTAACAACACTTGAGTAAGTGTCTGGTCAGCAGCAATGCAGAGCCACCAGCACTGGGTGATGGCTGCGTCACACTGTTATTGTAATGAGGCGTGTTAAACACATTCAGACAGGTTGGAAAACAGAATACTGCAGCCCTACAGCTGACCGAGCACCCAGCCAGCCAGACTATATCAATATTCATAAACTGGTCTGGCCCTCCCTGGTGGAAACCACATTAGGTTTCTCCTCATAGTGCACTAAATGTGTATGCGGGTGTTGCTCATGAACTTCGTCTTGGGAGGGTATACGTCCTGGAGGCTGGCTGTCAAATATGCAAACATCAGCCCCTCCTTTTTTCTCTGCTTGCTAAAGACAAACAGAAACACATTAGTGCCCCGACTGTAACTTGTGGAAGAAAAGAGAACAGAGACTCTTGTAAAAATGAAAGAAAAGTGTCAGGGAGCATCATGACATGAAGCTGGGTGTCATTTCCAAATGTTGGAGCCTTGGAAGCTTGGACTGTAGGATGGAAATAAACAGCTGAATGGGAAAGTTTAGATTCTGGTCTGTAAACCTAAACTGTTCTTTGGTGGTGTATTGTAATTGACATGAGGTTAAAAAAAGAAAAAGAACAAAATTAAAATTTGTGCATAATTTCCTCCTCCGCCACAAGCTAGTAAAATGAGTGTCCTGGACAATTTCTATACAAACACAGCACTGAGAAACAGTTTTGCAGTGGTTCTATGTCAACAACTCCAGACCAGTTCGTACAAATTGCTCAGAATCAGTCCACTAGAGACAGCCTGTCATTTCCAGTTTCCCTTTCATATATTCCTGTGATGAATGCTGGAGGCACGGGGTCTTTGTAATGGGTCTAACCAGATCGTGGTGAGAAATTCCCAAAGCCCATGAGGATACAGGAAAGGTGAGAGGGAGGGGGTGTACTGGGAGCACCCACTGGAGATCTCTCACACAGAATAGGCAAAGTCTCCTTGCCACTGCTCACACCTTTGTGACTGGCAGTCACATCCCTGTTTTCAACAAATCCTACTCAGTTTTCTGAGTCATCCTAATCCTAATCAGTTGGTAAGACTCTATGGTTTGTTATGTGTGTACAAGTTGGGAGGATGACTGCAACTGACCCATCACAACTGAGAATCTGGGGACTCATCCTCATCCATACCAAAGATAAAGTAACAGCCTAAAGAATGCAGCAGTGTATACAGCTCCAGCCTGCCAATCCGCTGAAGCCATGACCACACATAAACAGACCCAAACTGTTTACAGTCAGTTTGCAGTACATGCCACCCATGATTTGGTAAAATCTGCTTGTTGGCTCAGAGCTCTGTACATCAGCTAAACAAACACAATCCAACTTATGCCACGTATTAGTTTGTCAGTACTAATCACCTTCAGATTGGAAATCAAGTGTGGGTGGGTTGCAGAGAATTTTGAGGTTGATTACCAATGTGGTGTGGTGTACGAGGGCAGCCCAGGTATAAAAAAAAAAAATCGGATCCCATTTCCCCACCTTTTTATGCCATGAAGTCACTACTGCTTCTCAGTGCAGACATCACAACAGTTCAACTGGTGCATGTTATTAGCATCATTTGAAAAGTGGTCCTCCATAGTCACCCGAGATAGGCAGTGGAGGAAATCTGCAATGCAGGATATTTTCATCAAGACGACTGCATTTCATGTGTCAAGGGGTTAAAAGTCTCCAAATCAAACTCTGCAGTATCCTGTTCATGTCTGCGCTGCATCATGGACAATTATACCGTGATTTATAATCAGCATGGGTTTTGTCCAGGGGGGTAAAAATAGAAATGGTTATCGAGTACACAGGCTGTACTATAGTCCCTGGGGAAGATAATCAGGGAGCTCATTAGATCCTATGACAGTTATAGAGGGGCTAACCAGGTGTTCCTCCCTCCACCATCCCTCTGGTCAAACTGTGGACTGGATTGACTGGACAGGATACACCATGAAGCTGACACAGACATTAAACTCCATACACAGTCCTGCAGACAAGTGGAGCTACAGGACATAACCCTACCACTGACAATATTTCAGGGCTGTGACTCTTTTGCGTAAGGTGACTCATTCATGAACAGTTCACATACTGGTGAATTAAAAAAATACAAGATATAATAAGAAATAATATAATAGAAGCTGAATGATACTGTGGCACAGCCTAATATCCTGCAACAAATTTGGAATATTAATGTGGACAAACTTGTTACAATTTAATGACACAGTTCCTCTCACTGTTACCACAATTCCTACAGATGGGGCCAGGATAATGGTATAATGGCCATATGCTGTGCTGTTAATTATAAAGCTAATGCTAACAGTGTTTCAGTGATCTGTAGGCCAAACCAGTGGTCAGTCCAATTAATGACAAATTAATTACTTTTTGTAATAAAAACACAAGAGTTCAAACAAAAGTGATGACTATTAAAATCTGGTAAATTATTCTAAC